CAAAATGCGAAAAGTGATTTGAATCAAGAGACACTTTGCTGCCCGTCGATTCACATAATAAGCTCTTCAGAAAAAAAATTTGGACCGATTCTGTTCCCCGTATAAAAAGTCGGTTTTGCGCTAATGCCAGATGTTGTTGACGATATATTATTGATCAGAAATTTAAGAGATGTGTGAGCTTTTGCTGTTATATTCTGCTGCATAAATAAAATAAATGGAAAGAATTTACTTTATTAAGAAAAATTTTCCAACTTGGGTACTCATTTTTTGCAGTAATTTTTTCGCAGGACAGGACAGAACAGGTTACGCAAAAAATATTGCAGGTTAGGACAGGTTACAGGTTACGAGGTAATGAAAGGTTATAGGTTGTGAAAGTTTTTACGGGACAGATTATAGGTTATGAAAAAGTTGTAACCTGCAGGACTGTAGCCTGACCTCATTTTATTTGCTGCAATGCGAGACCGAATAAAACGGAGACCTATTTAGTTCGTCTGATCGTGTTGAAAAGCAAGCAGAAAACGAAAAAAACACAGTTTATTTCTGAAAATACGCCAGTATTTAGAGAACTCGACTTGTTTTGACCAAGAATTTGATCTAGACGTCAAACAATCATTAATCATCTTCTCAAACGAAGTATATGCTTAATGCACAATTGATGCTTTTAACCAATATTTTTCTTTCTTATTTTATGTACTTTATATGTGCAACAGTAATATTGTTCCGTTTCTTTCTGTCCTTGTTATTATCATTATTATCTACACGTGTGTTGTGTATAGTTTCTGTTATAGAAGGAAGGTCAACATTGCTCCAACTTATTCTTCGATGAATACAATGCTAGCTAACGGTAGGTGTTTCAATCTTTTCTGTCACGCGTTTATTTTGCAGTTTTACAAGATGCTTTTTGCATAGAATTGACAAGAGCTCTAACGCTACGACTTTGTGTGAACAATCTGTAAATATCAGAGACTGTTCACCGAAAATTTGTGCACAAATTAACGTTTCCACATAAAGTTCCGGGAATTGTTGAAGAGTATGCTGACGATTACGCAGTGCGCTTATCTCTCCTATCAAAGGCCGCCATGATCTAAAACTTACAGCTATCCATTGAGTAGAAAAAGTTGAAAGATTTGATTACATTACGAAGAATGTCCATTATAAACATTTTCAATCAAGGACTTCTTTCATTAAGTCCACTGTGAAATGATGAGAGGCATCAACAACTCTACAGTTCCATGTATAAGCTTTTCTCTAACTTTAGCCATTGTGTAGGCTAATCTAACGGCTTTCGACATGTAGCAAAACAATTGCTCAATTTCTTTTCTTTTCATCAGGTTTCGGTTGAGATATTGGCACTCAGAAAGTCAAAACGAGCTTTAAGAAGAGTACAACGCACAGTATCATACAATTTTTTGATCTGGACCCCAGAGAACGTACTTGAGACCAAGTACTTCGTCTGCGTAATGAAGCCGGTACTTGCCTTTTTTCCAGAAGTAAATTTACTTGCAAGTACTTGTCCTTACTTGCCAAGTACTTTCAGAAAGTACTTCTTACGAGGGAATCTCTCGAGGTGACACCCTCCGTTCCAGTTTTTCAGAAACTCTAAAAAATAACCAAAAGCTTTTCTTAGTAACACATAATTGTTGCCCGCACATTTCTGATTAAAATAAGACATCTCCCAGTTCTACACGACGTTTCTTTGCAAAGTTATAGAATTTATAAGAAAAGCCCTATATGTTCATTGTCACCTCAAAGCTACAGAAATAAGAAGAGATTAACTTAGGGCTTTTCTTGTAAATTCTATAACTTTGCAAAGAAAGGTCGTGTAGAGTTGGGAGATGTCTCATTTTAATCAGAAACGTGCGGGTTACAATTATGTGTCACCAAGAAAAGGTTTTGGCTATTTTTTAGAGTTTCTGAAAAACTGGGTCTTCAAAAGTAAGGGGCACGAATCCTTTTAGGCTTTTTATTAGCTCGATATACTCTATCGATTGAGGTATAACTCATTAGAAACGGAGGGTGTCACCTCGGGAGGTTCCCTCGTTAGCAATAAGGCAAGTATTTTGATCATTGACAAGTGCTTAGCAAGTAATCAAGTACTTGCATCAAGTACGTTCTCTAGGGGAAATACATCTTTTCCAAACGAGAAATAATTGTTCTTTCCCGAACAGGAAATATCCTGGTCTAACTCCCGATTGGGAAATAAAACTAAGCGATATTCAAACAAGAAGTTTGTTTTAGCATCGTATGTAATAAAATAGTTAAAGAGGAGCTTCAGCTTTTCACATAGAGCAAATGTAAAACAGCTAAGCAGCAGAATAAAAACTGCCCGTATTCTAGACGATTTATGGCTCATGAGATAATGTCTTTTCCACTGAGAAAGTTTTCCGATCGAGACATATTTGTCCATCGGAAAGGATGAAACGGACTGTCGGTTTTGCAGATACGATGCTCGGTGACGCAAAAATGTTAAAGTGAACGTATCTCCACAACGTGAGGCTCTAACAATATGAGACCGATGTTTCTGATCAGCATTTTGAATGAGCGATCAGCACACAAAATTTTATTAGAAGAATGGGTTCTAGGAGGCACCTAATTTTAGCCATCACGATAAAGTAATTCCTGTCCCCAGAATATAAGGCCACCTCGGAGACAATTCTGTATAATACCGGTCTTCTAACACAACCACGCTTTCAGATATGGCCACTTTTATTAAAAAATTTTCAGCATTTGACTTCTAGAAACCGTCAAATTATGCATGTTTTCGGTCTTCGCTCCTAGAATTTTCGCAGCAGGCAGTGGCGGCAGAAGTATAGAGTATGACTCTTCTTGTTAATTAGCATTTCTATCGAGTAACCACAAACATCGAACATAGAGAAGTGTAATCGATTCAGTCGTCGCGACCAATTGCATTGCGCTAAAGTCGATAGAAACAAGACAATAAGTATATTCGACCCTCAAAATTGACGTTGATGAACAGGGGGTGCCAGAAGCGCAGAGAAGAGAAAAAATCCAGTAGCGACAAATATACAGCAGCTTAACCCTTTCAATACGACTTTTGACCAATGCAGTAAATTGTGTGTAATTGATATAAAGTTGTTGATTTGGCTTCGAAATATATGTATGCAAAGTTTAATTTTTTTATCTTTTAGTATTTATAAAGAAAAGACCTGGGATACATATGTCCCAGTAGTAGTGCCTGTTTGGGAAAATTTGTCCCTGCAGTAATGAAATAAATGAACATTTAGAAACGAAATTTATTTATTTTAGTAATTATAAATAATATACATTATTATAGTATTATTTATTATGTGTGATAAGGTGTAAAACAGTCGATGCATAAGGCCACCTGACATTGTTTACATATGAGTTTTGTTCGTTTTTCGATTTTTCGCGACTGACACCGAACACACCTGTTCCTTCCACCTTTATCTATTGGAAGGTGATCGCCAATATTTTCGCAAAATTTAACCCTTTTGGAAACCCGGCCTTGTCTTCTGGACCGTTTGTAAGTTGTTTCTGATCTCCCTTTGCTAATAAGACCTTCTGCCACATTAATTAGAAAATGAATGAAAGGAACTTTTTTATGACTAACTTCTTCATAAACAATATGTGCATTATGAACAGAAGTCATCAAAAGTCTAAGGAAAACTTTTTTCCACCATTTTGTACTTCTTCGGTCCAAATCATATAATGAAATTTTTGCATAGATCGTGGCGGCCTCTTCAGGAACTCAGAGTATAATTAAAAGAAGCCCGCTGTCCGATTCGCCTTGAAATTCTGCCTATACCCCCTTAATTTCATCAAATTTAGTGGTGCGCGGCAAAAGTACCTAATTTTCTAATGCCATTACTACACAGAAATAATCCTAGAAACAATAACTGTAAGTGCACACAAACAAGCACATGGTCAGCAAAAATCAACTGATAGGAGGCACACGTGTTCCTAATAAAAAAGTGTATTTTAAAGCGATATACTATACTACAGTATTTATCAAATATTCTTTGGGATGAATATATCCCAGCAGTATTGAAAGGGTTAAAGGTTGGATTAGAAAGCCACTCCAAACAAAAGATCATACTAAAACGTTTGATCCACTTGGACAAAGTAGAAGGCCATACCCTTCTATCCTGAGGGGGAGGTAGCATTATGCTTTGCTTTTTCTGCTTGTAGATTCTCTTAGTCGGCTAAACTAAAATTATGGCCACCGATAAAATTGCAGTAGTTAAAAGATATATTCAATTAGCAAATGAACATAATTTAGACGAAATCTATAAACTATTCGATGATAATTTAATGGTAAACTATTTACATTCACGAAAAACAGAATATTTTGCATTAAATGAAATTAAAGAATTATATAGAAAATTTTTTAATGAATTTATACCTGATATAAAATGGGACATTACATCGGATTTTAAAACTGATAATAATTTTACAATTAGTGATTTAGTAAAAGATAAAAGTTCATATAAACAAGGTGATGCAGTTGTATTTAATGCTAAACGTGTAACAAAACAAAAACCAGAATTAAATGATATATGTAGTACAGAATGGGTTTGTGTTAATGATGAAGGTAAAATTTATCATGTTAAAAATATAACTTATGATTAATTAATTATTTATCGTTTTGTTATGCATGTGCATGGGATTTTGGACACAACAAGGACAGAAAACTTACGGTTTATTCTGGCTATCACTTGATTTGAAAAATGTCAATTTTTACACACACTTTACACTTTTTTCTTTTTAGTATAAACTTTATTTATTTAGAAGAAATGTTGAAAATATCAGTACAAATTATGAGAAGAAGGAGGTGAACCCATTTCATCTTAACATAAATTGACTGAGGACAGAAGACAGCACTAGAATACATGTATAGAAACGATACACGGTGACAACATAAAAGAGAGAAAGTAATGACAACAACAAGAATAATAATAATAAAAGAAAATAAAAAAACAGAGAATAACTGATGGACAAAGGGGAGAACAGGATATCATGATATTAGAATCTTTGTGTCGCGAATAAATGTAGTTACGATATTATATAGGTTATTCATTTCTATAACGCGTAAAGATGGTGCAGGTTTTAAAAATAAAGACCAGTCTAGCTTTGATGTTAAGTGCAAGCCCAGATGTTTATGCCAATCGGCGTAGCTGATAATATTTCCGTTCAATAACAGCTGAGGACGTGCAGAAACTTTGCCGAAAAACATAGCCACACACTTTTGTAAATTCAAGTCCGAGCTATGATACATTGATGTATCGTCCGCAAATAAACGAAGTTTCGACTGTTTATTATCACAAATATCGTCGATGAGTATTAAAAATAAAAGTGGTCCTAAAATCGAGCCTTGAGGGACACCACGGTTTATAACAAGAGGTGGAGACAATTGTCCATTTACAAGCGTAGTGTATTTTCGAGCAGTTAGATAACCCTAAAACCATTTTATAAGTTCGGGACGCACGCCTTTTTGTTTTAACTTGTATAAAAGTCCTTTATGCCAAACTTTATCGAACGCCTTTGCAAAATCAAGAAATACAGCTGTTGTAAATTTATCTGAATCTAAATTTTCTCCTATTTCATGCATCATATCAACTGATTTGTCGTAGAATCACCCTGAATAAAATCTGATTGTAAGGGTGTTAGGAGATCATGTTTTTTTAGATGTCAAAATATCTTATTATTACTTTTTTCCATATAACTTATTTTTCTTTCTGTTTATATATGTTTATTGTTATGATTCAGTGGTTTTCTCTTTTACTATTAATAACAGTGATTCCAACGAGGTATTGTCTAAGAGAGTTTCTGATAAAAATCGCTCACTTCTGGCAATGTTAAAGTGGTTCACTGATCATTCAGCCATGGTTTATCATTAGATATCAGGGGTGGGACCGGTTCGGTTTGAGTTTTTCGTAAATCGGTTCGGTTTCGATTGTCGAAAAACACGAACGGATCCCATCTCTGCTGGTTATATGTTTTTCAAAATGAATATTTTTTTGGCCTTCAAACCTTAAGCGTCCACTTCCAGAAAAATGGTTCGGCTATCTATGGTATAGCCGAGACTAACTCATACAGTAGGCCCATCGTTATTGTCCATTCTAAAAGTAGCTTAAAACAATACCTCTTTAAAAGTTAGATTTGTGATATTTATATTTCGAACTAGAAGGTAAAATAAAAATTACTGTTTGAAGCATAAGTAATCAAAGGAAGGTACCATAGCCAAAAACGTGTGCAAGAATAAGCATCGTACGTATATAACCATATGTACAAAATGCCGAAACTTTGCTCAAACGAAGACTTTCGCACATTCTCTTTTTATTTAAATAAGTTGTTGCGATTCTACCAGATCTCCTTATTGACTGGATTGCGCTGAAAATGTTTTGAGCTTATGCACTCGGACCAGATTGAACTCAGACTTTTAAGACCATGGACTGGTCTGCACTCGAAAAAAAGTTTTGGATTCACTTGAACTGAGGAATAATCAGTGAAAAACATGTTGTTTTGTATTGTGAACTGGACTGAACTACTTTTTTAGAGTCCATGGACTGAAAAATCTGTTTTCATGGACTCTATAATGGACAAAATATAGAAAGTGACTTGTTTTGCAGATTGACTTTTTTTCATCCGACAGCGCAGATCATAAGCAATCCGAGAGTGGACTTTGGTCAGAAGTTGTGGCAAAGTCAGAGACTATATTTATTAGTAGTCTTCGATTTTCTCTCAAGTAGTTTCCTGTGCTGTGCGCAAAAGGGTATCAAAACTAGAAAAGAAGTGTATCTCGTTAAAATATTTAAGATTTGTAGAGCAAACGTTTCTGATCAAAATAAGACCTCGCAGAACTCTGTATAACCTTGCATCAAAAAGTTGCAGACTACATGGACTGACAAACGCTGATTTTTGATTTAGGTCCTACTTTTTTGTCAAGTAGAGGATTTTTAGAAATTCTGGAAGGCTTTCTCGGGTTTTGGCGGTTGTTGGTTGCCTGGAAAACCAATAAAGCCTTAATTAAAAAAATCGGCGCCTGTCAGTCCATGTAGTTAGGTGTCTAGTTTAAAATAAAACAAACGCGAACTCTCCAGCTTGAAGTATATTAAAAAGTCTTGGGACATTAAAAGTCCTGACTTCAGGGTCCTTTTTGGACCTTGATCTCTGGAAAACTCCTAAACCGTAAGACTTGGGGACAAGACATTTTTTTCATTCCCACAGCACATTGTGCCTGTTGCAGCCAAATGGCCATTTAAACAATGATTATCTATTCAAAACCTTAAACAAATCATATTGTACTTATTCCAAGTCGTTTAATTGCTCTACTGGATTATTTAAATACGGTAAGAAAGCAACACTATCTATTAATCCCTTTCATTTTGTTCGCAGACTTTTATCGGAAGGTAATTGTTGTTTGTGTTTTATCTCATTGTATCGTGTTGCTGCTGCTCTATTTTCCGAATCTTTTATGTACGTTTTACTGTTCATTTCTTAAGGTGAAGCATTAGCGATACACACTGTAAAACATGTTGTGCTGCACGTGGAAACCAAACATTGTAAACTAACTAATATCTACGGTCCAGCCGAATGCTCTGTCAATACTACAATATTTCACATGAGTCCGTCTTACATTCATGATGCAGCAACAGAAGCAGCAGTGATATATTATTCCATACCTATAGGTCGACCATTAAGAAATTATAAGTGCTGCATCTTGGACGAGTATTTGCAAGAAGTTGTCCTTAATCAAATAGGTGAACTTTACATTGGCGGTTGTTGTGTATTTTCTGGTTATCTGAATCAACCGGAGTTAACTGCAGAAGTATTAGCAGAACTGTCACCTCATCCTCCCCTTGGGAGTGATAATAAATCAAAACGGTACTATTACAAAAGTGGTGATTTAGTAAAGTTAAATAAAGATGGTGACATAGTGTTTATTGGTGGAAAAGATTTTCAAATCAAACTGAGAGGACAACGAATTGATGTAGATAAAATTGAAAGTATAATAATGAATTCATTGGAAAATTGGCAGGTTCAGAATTGTATCGTTAAGAAAGTAAGAGATGAACTTCGTCAAGAAGACTATTTAGTAGCCTATGTACACCCCGTGAATAACGAATTAGAAGAACATGTAAATGAGAAACACATTAAGAACTACTGTCACCAACGTTTACCTGCGTATATGGTACCTTCCTACTTTGTTCTAATGGATCAATTTCCTTTGAATCAAAATGATATAGTGGATCGAAAGGAATTGTCACTACCTGATTTTAGTCGAAGGACACTGATGGCCTACAGCCAAGAAGTGAATTAGAACATCGAATACATGATATATGGCTCAAAGTATTAAAACTACAAGAGAAACTATCAATGAACAGTAACTACTTTTCATTAGATGGAAATTCTCTTCTACTAATTAAGTTGTATAGTCTATATTAAACAGAGTTTTTGTTGTCGCATCCTATGCACAAGAACGTATATAGCTCGATGAACAAGTTCGGTTTGAGCAGCACAAAGTTTCTATCGACCAAGAATCATGCCCATCATTACCTATTTATACTATTCCTCTATTGCTTCGAATTGAAAGTGGACAGATATCAATAGATCGTTTAAAGCAAACTGTAAACTTGGTTATTGAAAAACACTCTGTTTTACGTACTTCTTATAAATATGACCTTGAAAACTTTACTTTGGAACAATCCCTCTCAACAACATCGTCTACGTATGACAGAAATTTGGATTTAATATCTGTGAATAGCTGCATAGATTTATCGCCCAATGAGAAGATAACTGCTACTAAATTTGATCTCACAAGTGGTCAAGTAATAAAGTGTCATTTGATTAAGATGCAGCAGAAATATGATTGTGAAGATACTTTAGTGGCAACCGATTACATTCTCTTCTTATTTCATCATATTGCCTTTGACGGCTCATCGACGAATATATTTCCGAAAGACCTTCACACAGTGGGCATTTTTTGCTAGAGCAGGTGGACTTTAGCTTTATGAGTGAACTAAAATTTCAGGAACCATTTTTTTATAGGTTTTTCATGATCCTCTTTCTAATGGCATGAGAGTTGGGTTTTGAAAAAGTTTTCGAAGGAGCTTTCCAAAGATCCGGTCTCTGGAAAACCCTTCAGAAAACTTTCTCAATATTTAAAAACAATGCCGCTGGAAAGAGCATTGTCGAAAACCTATAAGAAACATGTTTCGAGTCGTTCAGGTTACTTTATCTTGAAATTCAAATTTTCAGTACGAAATTGTTTGTGTGAATCTCAAAAAATTAGAAATTTCTAGAATTCAAAATCAAGCGACCGAAACTAGATGAGTTATACACCATTCGATGCAGTTTTTTACGCTGACTCTGAATATGATATTA